AGTGCGCCATAGAATACTAAAATTTTGTTTTCTCTTGACATAAAACTTTTCACACAAAGCTTCCAAGACCAACTTCTCAATCTCATCCCTTATAATAATTAAATATATCTTAAAGATATTAATATATATCTAATTTACACATACCTATCAAGATTTATATCTCTTCATAGAAAACCACTCAATCAAGAGAGAAACAACGAAATTAAATGAAATATCATCAAAAAGAACTAAATAGCTCAACTTTTGAAGAATTAAAAATAAACTTTCATATACACTAAGATATGAATTTCTCTACCTTTAATATAATCCGGTGGAAATTCTTTCTTAATCTCCTTCTCTTATTATTTTCCTTTCCCTCTTTTCTATTTTCTTTTTCTTCTCTGTCTTTTCTTCTTCTACAGCCGAAAACCCCTCCTCTGTTTCTAATTTTTTTTTCTTTTGTTTTCCATGTTTATCTATAGATACACATGTTTTGTGCATGTGTGTTGTGCAGGAAGCAATTGCCTTTTAGTAAGCCTAAATCTTTACTCCAATTATAATATAATATTAAATATATACTAGTCAACTTTCTTTAAACCTTCAAATCAGCTTAGTATAATTGAAATAAAATTTATATAGAAAACTGTAAGCTTCATTCAGAATAGCTTGGAACTTCCACATATATCTTCATTTGGTAATATCTAAAACACACACACACATAGATCTTCAAACTAACAAACACCATGCTACATTCAACCCACACACAATTTAATCCCACTAGCCGCCACCCACACCACCTCCACGTAACAGTTTCTATATACTAAATATATATATATAGACTACTAGCTTAGTTAGTAAGCATTAACACACACAACAAGAATTTCATGAAAAAACCACTCCTTAAAATATTCATATATAAATCATGTTTAATTTAATTTAAATTAGGCTAATGTAATTAATTTTTTATTGGGGTCTTACAATCTCTTAGCACTGCTACCGCTACCGCTCCTTCTTCTTTCATCTCTTCATTTTCTCTTATATACATATATCACACACATGCACACATATACACATACAATTACAATCCAATCTACTCATACACTGCCCCTAACCTTCACCCAAATTAATCACAAAAATTCTCCCAAACCAGTTTCAATGCCCAAACACTGTTAAGCTTTGGAAGAAAAACAGAGTCAATCCGCGTATCAAAAATTCTCCCAAACTAGGTTCAATGCCCAAACATTATGCATCCCGTAACAAGTTTGGTCCCTCCTTTAATGGCTCAATTGACTATGAATCCTCAATAAAATCATAATTAATATCAACAGTACTAGTAATGGATTATGGTGAATCAAAATCAGCCCCCACCCCTTCAGCAACAAACCCAACAACCTATGTATTACCACCAGCAACCACCGCCTAAGGCGACGGCGCCACTGCAGCAGCTCCAGCAACCACTTCTCCTTGAACGACACCTCCGGAATAGAGCCGCGCGTGCGCACCACCGCCGCCACTAAAGAGAGAAAATGCTCCAACGACCACGACGACTTGAATTTGTCATTGATTCCATACATCACTCTGTTCAGGACAACGCCGTCGTTAGGACAGTCGCCGCAACTCCAGCGACCACAACCACAATACTCTGTCGCCGCTCAGCCCGCCAGCATTGACGAGAGCATCGTCGGTCCCTCCCTTGCCTTCGTTGCCGACTTTACTGACCAAGCTATCGATGGATCGGAGCTCCATTAAAAAAAAGTCCCCGAAGAAGCCAATTATCGCAAAGTCCTCTCTTGACCTCGATCTTAGCCCGTTCCTTCTGCAACTCGCGCGTGATATAATCACCGCTGGTGATGGCCCGATAAAGGCGTTGGAATACGCACTCCAAGCTTCAAATTTATTTGAGCTGTGTGCCACCAATGGTGAACCAGAACTAAGCCACATCACACCTAACCCCATATCTCAGCCTCTACTTTTGAATGTTTAGGGTGCGTTTGGATATATAGAAGAGAAAAGAAGAGAAAGGATAGTATTAGTTAGGAGAGAAAGGAAAAGAAAAGAAATGATAGTAATAATTTGTATTCATGTTTAGATAGATATGAGAGAAAAGAAAAGAAAGAATAGTCACATAAAATAGAGGAGAAAAAATAAAAGAAATGATAGTAACCAAATTACTGTTATACCCTTTTATAATTGTAAGTGGTTAAGTCCCTTTTCCTTGGGTGCAAAAATCTTAAAATTGGAAGCTAACATTAATAATTAGATCAAACTTCATATGCTTAGCCTCTACTGTATATATCTATTAATTGAATCCCACTTGTTGAAACAAACATCAAAATTAATAATAAAAATCACAAATTTATAATTTCTTTGAAAATTTCCAAAGAATATCTCATCTATCTCGTTACCATATTTTTTCAATATAGAAGAGCATTTCTCCTTTTGAAATATGCAGACTCATTTGTTTGTGATATAGTCAGGGTTACATGTAGAACCCTAAAACAAACTTACAATGTTGTTTGGTTGATAAGAAAGTATAGGAGAAAAAAAAAAAAGAAATTATGAATCTCAGATTTTATTCTTCAATTGGAGTCCAGGAAAGAGAAAGTGAAAAACTGCTAACCCAATTGGTGAGTGTGGATCAAACACAAACATAGCATGTAATTCCAAAAAAAAAAAAAAAAAAAGCCACAAACATAGCATAGGACTTGAATGGAATAACAAATTTGTATATTGATTTGTGGAGGCTAGTTTTGGTATTATCACAATATCACTAAAATCACTATACTTTCTCTCCCTATCTTTTCTCTTCATTTAAGCCATCCAAACACACTCATACTCTATTCTTTCTTTTCTTTTCTCTCCCTATCCCTATAAATCATCCCATCCAAACACACCGAAAGAAAGATAGAGAGGAAAGAGAAACATAAAAGGACTAAGGAGAGAGAATGTGTAGAAGGGCAAAAACGTCCTTTTAGTATTTTGATATTTTACAATGGGTTAATTTCACTGATACCCCCTTAGCTTTGGCCAAATATCACCTTAAAATATCTTTCGAAAATAACTATCACTAACATTACAAATTTTTTCTTTGCTTTTCACTCACACCCTAAACGTAACTTTTTAGATGTGTCAAACCACTTTTTCATGTAAAAAAACATTTTTACCCTTTTGACTTTGGTTTGACTAAATAAAGTGTTGTTTGATTATTAAACTAACATTTTTATCCTTATTATTCCATTGAAATCAGTTGAGGCAAGTAGCCATCATTACCTTTAAAAATAAATATAAAAAAAAAAACAAAAATTAGCCCTCATTATTTGGCTCCAATAGCAGCTGTAATTGCTTTGTAATTTTGTTTATAACCAGTAATTACAATATTTTTAAACCTATAATTGCTTTTATAATTGCTAATTTGAAGTTCATAAATGTGAAAAAAAATGTAGATAAAGTAGTGTAAGATAGAGTCTGAATGCTTTGTGTTACTCTTGTTGGTGCCATATTTATTAAAGTCAAACCTGAATAATAAGGACATAAATAACAAAGCATTAATATAAGAATAATAAATGAATTAAATACCTGAATGTTCTGTGCTGGAGCTACTTGATTAGTGGGTTGCATGGGTTTTATTTAATTAGTTTTATTTACTTAATTAGTGGGTTTGATGGGTTTTATTTAATTAGTGATTACTTTGTTTAGGAAGAATAGATATGTACGCTTTTGCATATCATGTTTGAAGTTGAAGTGATAAGTATGGGGTGGGGTCCAGAGTATTTTGGCCAAAGTGATTTCGCATGGTTTTGGTAGTTAATGGAAGCCTGATGGTGAACATCTTTAAATTACAGAGAATTAAGAGGAGAGAAGAAGCCGAGAGTTGGAGAGAGGGGGTCGAGAGTTGCAGAGAATTGGAAGATCCAGTTATGGAGATTAATGCAAAGGTAAACAGATTAAAAATTTGGGTTAATTAAACCTAATTATGGTTAATTAACCTTAATTCAAAAAAAAAATGATCAATTAACCCTAAATTGGGTTAATTAACACTTAAATAATCCTAAATTGGGGTTTATTAAACTTAATTAGGATTAATTAACCCTAATCCAACAAAAGTTCCATCAATTAATCCTAATTTTAATTAATTAACACCCAAATTACCCAAATTAAGGTTAATTGATAGAACTTTTGCTGGATTAGGGTTAATTAACCCTAATTAGGCTTAATAAACCCTAATTTAGGGTTGACTGGACTACGGTTTAATGAAAATAGGTGGATGAACTCTGCTGAGTGATAGAGAAGAGACGGAGACTGAAAAGAGATACAAAAAATATATTAGAGAGAGAAAGAGAGTGTGTAATAATGAGGGGTATAAAAGTCATTTAAGTAATATGATATTTTGGAATAAACTGAATTAAAAAATTAAGGGTAAAGTTGTCTTTTCTATGCTATTAACGGAGACTGTGACGGAAAAATTAAAATGGACTTAAGTGATAGTTATTTTCAAAATATGTTCGAAACTGATATTTGATCAAACCTGAGGGGTGTTAGTGAAATTAACCATTTTAAAATTAAAATTAATTAAATATTCATGGCAATCTTGTATTTTCCAACCTTTTAAAAGCCTGTTTGGATAAAAAAAAATTATAAGGGGGTGTCATCATCTAAAAATGGGTCAACTTGGATATGGCTATTTTTATGGCAAAACTTTAGAGAATGTTATTGTACTTTATCTTTTTTTTAAAAAAAAAAATTCCGAAAAGAAATAAAAAGAAATAAATATTTTATCATGCGTGTGAAAAATACTACATAAATTTTCACTTGTTATAAAACTGAAAACAAAATTATCCTTAACATTTTTTCCTTCCCATTCCTCCCACTTATGAAAAGAAGTACAATTTCTTTCCACTCCCTCTTTTTCATTTCCTTCCAATGAAAACAAAATTCCTTAACATTATTTCCTTCCCATTCCTCCCACTTATGAAAAGAAGTACTCCGTACAATTTATTCCTCTCCCTCGTTTTCCTTTTCATTTCCTTTCCTTTCCGTTCACACACATGTAAAACCTCTATATATTACAAAACCTAGAAAGCGCGAAAGAGGAGAGAGGGTAGAGAGAGTCACTTTCACACATTGCTGCTTCTACGAACCTCTCCGATTCCAACCAAACTCAGGTATAAAGCTCCTGTACTCGAACCAATCAATCTTTATCTTATTTGCACACTTTTACAAGCTAAGGATAAGTTGTACAAACCCTTTTTTTGCAATTTAGGGTTTATGCAAATTTTACTGTAGTCTGCTTAATGGTTAAGTTATCGTCCCCTTTTTTCTTTTTATAGGGTTTTGGTTGCTTTTGAGATCGATCAGTTATGGCGGCGACGGTGCAGCAACCAGTCTCTGCTCAAGTTGTGTGTATTTGTTTGATTTCATAATCATATATATTGAATTTCAATTGACCATGAATTTTAGTGGTTATGGTTGGTTTTGAGTGAATTTTTCTGTGTGGTGTTAGGTTGGTAATGCTTTTGTTCAACAATACTACTATATACTGCACCAATCGCCAGGGCTCGTTCATCGATTTTATCATGATATCAGTAAGGTTGGTCGTCCTGAGGAGAATGGTACCATCAGTATCACTACAACAATGAACGTAAGCTCTCTCTCTATTACACACACACGCGCACACACACAAACACACACACACACACACACACACACACACACATATATATAAGATTTGTATTAACGCATTAAAATTTGCAATTACTTTAGGTGTTCATTTAATCCCCAAAAGTTAGTGTTTTCACGTTTTAAAGCTTTAAATGATTGGTATAGTGAACTACTTTATGCTCCATCCGTTTGCTGAGTTAAGTGAATTAAAGAATTAGCAAAGAAACTAAATTTCATGTTTTGTGCTGTTTTTGGGTTTTGAAAAGAATAAAAACCCATTCTCAACTGAGTCAGGTAGTTGTTTTAGGCTAATTAGAATGTGGAATTTTGTTTTCTAGGTTACCCGTATAATGAAAAATTTATGAGTCAAAATTTTCTAATTTCTTATTTTGCTACTAATTTTGAGCAATTAAAAAGGTTAGTGAAAATTAGAGTGAAAGTACTTGGGAGTTTTGCAATTCTGAAGTCTCCTTGTTTCTGGCCCTATCTCAATGCATAGGATATCAATGAGAAGATAGTGTCACTCAACTATGACAAGTACAAGACGGCTATCACATCTGTGGATGCACAAGAGTCTTTTGACGGGGGAGTTCATGTCCTTGTAACTGGTTATATGGTGTTGACGGATGATTTGATTCGGCATTTTGCTCAAACTTTCTTCCTTGCACCACAAGAGAAAGGCTACTTTGTCTTGAATGACATGCTTCGGTATGTGGAAGACATCAATCACCATGTTGGAAGTCCAGGTTCAACTAGTGACGTGGAGGCTCCTCTCACCTCTGAGCAGGGTAATGGACTGCTCAGATTTATGCTTATAATTTTTGTTTTGTATTGTTTTGTTTTGTTTTGTTTTGTTGATAATTTTTTTGGTTGGCAGAACCTTCTACTGTTCAGGAGAACCAAATTTCTGAGCAAACAATTGTCTTGGCTGAGGAAGTGAATGGGGAAGAAGTCTACAATTCCTCCAACCATGGAGAAGTGTCGGCTGTGGAAGATGAAATGCCAGTACCTGAGGTTGTTAATGAAGTACAGGGTGATTCACGGATGGTCGTTGAATCGAACTCCAAAGTTGAAGAACTGCCACAGAAATCTTATGCTTCCATTGTAAGTGGTCATTGAGGAAGTTTGCTATGGCACTGATTTTTTCCCCCTTACTTGCAGGGATTAACTTACCTTAGTAATATTAGTATATTATCCCTTGGAGTTCTCTACATATAATTATGTATAATTTGGACTGCCAAGTGTTGGAAACAAACAATGTTATTCTTTTCTTTTTTCTACATTATTCTTTTGTAAGGACATATGATGTCATCTGCTAAGCCTATTTGTTGTTTCCTGCTTGTGTATCGATTGAAATGTCAAATAAACAATGGTATCGTTGTTTCAGGTGATGGTTAGGAAAGAGGGTACTGCTACTTTTTCATCTCCTGCACCTGCTCCTCAGAGATCTGTACCAAAGAGCCAAGAGCACCAAGTGAACTCTGCATTGCCTCCTGCCTCAGCAGTTGAGACACCAGTTTCCAGTTCAAACGCTATTGAGAATGATAGTAGTCAGGAGGGGGAAGGTATGCAGTAAATAGCATGCTAATGTTAGTTCTACTGGTTCCTTATTAAGGTTTCATTTCACAACTAAGTTGTGAATATTTTATATATAGGTTTATTTAGTAATCTGCTTATTTTTTATTATTTATCTGTTTATTTATCTATTTTGTTTATGTTTGTGTGTGTGTGACAGCTGAGGGTTACTCAATCTACATTAGGGGTCTGCCACTGAATGCCACACATGCCCTAGTCGAGGACGAGTTTAAAAGGTTTGGACCTATCAAGAGCGATGGCATTCAAGTTAGGTGCAACAGAGTATGTATCAACTAATTCTTTTTTGTGGTTCACCTCTGTTCATCATTATGAGTTATTTATTTATGAGCTTTATGTTGCAGAACCATGGATTTAGTTTTGGTTTTGGTTTTGTGGAATTTGAGGTGGCAAGTGCTGTGCAAAAAGCAATTGAGGTATACGTCGTTTTACTGTTTGTTATATCATTGATTCATCTTTTTCAGTTTTTTAAAATGAATGAGAAGATATTTGTCAAATGAAATCCGTGATTCATTCATTCTTGAGGGAATACAATAGAAATGATTAAACTATGAAGAATTGCTTTACATGGTTGATATAAGCTCATGTTTTTATCCTGTTGTCCATCAGGAAAAACAATTTCACCCTCTCCAAGAGTTCTTTTATTTATTTATTTTATTTATTTTTTATTTTTTCTGTATGATCTGGTTAATTACTTTCTAGTATGGACCGTAATGGTGCTCTTAATTAATGCATACCAACATTCTTGTCTGTGCATATTTCTTTTGTTAATGTTCTTAGTTTCTTTTGGCACAAACAAGTCCATGTGCATGTTTGTATGTGCATTGTAGAAATTCCAAGATGCTAATCATGAAAAAAGCAGCGTGAGAAGCATGCTTGGATGGTTGTGGCAATTTCACATGGAAAAGCATAAATGACCATTGTAAGAAAGATATGGCAGTCATTTTGAAATCAAATGGAAGAAGTATTACTTTTGTTATAAATTCATGAAACATTTTAAATACTGCATTCTTAAAGTAGCAAATTGTTGGGTAGTGCTCGGTAAAAGTGGTTGTATAAGCTTGATGGATTTTTCCTAGTTAGTTTGGGTTTCTAATCACTTTGAAGAGTTGTGATTACGGATGCAACAAATTGAGCTATTCTCGAATGATTTGGTTTGATAAATAGTGAACCGAGCTTGAGCCCATTTTCAAACTTGTTTCTTAATAGACCCCGAGCCCTAGAGAGCTATGATCCACTTGTTTGGCTGGTGAATGTGTCAATTTTTCACATATAGTTATTTTGAAGTTCAATTGTCGTATTAAGTCAAAAAAGTGTTGAGATTCTCTTTACTCATTATGTATTAAGAAAATCTTTTATAGTGAAGAATGGTTGATGGGCTGACTACTCGTTCCTGTTTGTACAGGAAATTTGTTCTTCGTGATTCCATCTGAGAAAGAGACTGGTTGTAGCGTGATGGGTTTTAAAGTGGATTTTTATGGGAATGGGAGGAATGGCTGAAATTTGTCATGGTTTCGCAATATTGGATGAGTGGTTCTCAGTTGGGGCTGGGTTGGGTTTAGGGGACCCATTCAAATATGCGCATTTTCTGCAGTACAGATATTTCTGCTCTATCTTTTAAAATTCAACATCACTCCACTGACTGCAACAAATAACTGCCATGCCCCTAGGTTATGAATTTATTATTATATATAATTATTGTTGTCATTATCATTATCATTAATAACTACTATTCCCACTACTAAATCATTAGCCAGTGTATGTGCTGTCTCAAGGAAGACCGGAGATAGGATTCACCTACATCATTAGCCAGTGTATGTGCTGTCTTGAGGAAGACTGGAGATAGGATTAACTTTTGGCATTATTTTGCATAAAGTGGCTGCTTTAGTCTTGAACTCGTCCTCTTGCTTATACGCCTGAGCTGTTACCTACACGAAATAGTGACTCTTATCTCCTAGGTTCGGCTAAAATACAGTTTCAAAATCAAGTTGTTGCTACTGCTGCCTCTACTCTCCCATTGAGCCCCATGATGTGGTCTCTTTCACCCTGGTATCTGATTTACCCTTCACAGCTGTTGTATTTGGCAAATTGGCTGACCTGTTCGACTGCCTCCAGCATTATCATAAGTACAGCTGTTGTCTTTTACCCTGCCTTTATCATTGCTGAGGCCACCCATACCATCTACTCTATGGACCCGTTTTTACTTACCAACGCCCTTCCAAGCAGTCATTAACATATCACTGCCTCCATAAATGCTGTCTTCTTCAGCTGGGACTCGTATGGAGTCCAGATGTGGAAATTCAACTATTTGAGCTGAAAGCCCAAGGACCAATATCTATTGTAGGCTATGTAACAGGACCAATACCTATTGTAGCCTATGTAACATAATCTGTGGATTAGTAATTGTTAGTTCTATAATCCTTCTTCTTATGCACATCTACTTCACCTCTACTATAATTATTTGAAGTAGTAAAAACTCTGTTTCCATTTCCAAGCAATACGTTGCTCCTGCTCTCACTCTTCAGTGACGCATATGGAAGGAATTTCTCTCCATGCACGTGACCGTGGATACACAAGATTTGGATAACTGATTACTGATTTGTGGTAGCTTTATTTTGACCCAATTACTACTTCCATGACCAAAATCTGGCCTACTTTTTCCTGTGAATTTATATTATCATAATACAATGGTTTTCCTCGGAACTTCTTCATAGTGGCTCCCATCCACGCCTCATTTCATAGGGAACCTCAAAGTGGCTCTATTTCATTATATTCCATTCATATCCCAAATTTCATTCATTTAATATCCCTTTGGTGTCATTGACATAACAGATGTCGTTTCTAGTCTATCTCTTTCTATTTTTATATATGTTCTATATATAGAAAGTGAAAAAATCATCATATAATAATCCAAAAATTGCAATAGAAAAGAAAAAGGGAGTATGCATTTTTCTTCTTTTTCTTTGGGTGAGGTTCAAGGTTGAACTTTTCCATTTCTAATTGTTGGTGATTTTGTTTTGTCATCCTAACTTTAATTGGTTTGGTTTGAATTTCCTTTTCCTTGCCTGAAATTCTGTTAACATAATTTATCCATTTGAAGACAAGTAATAATTGCACATTACATAGATACAATGAGATGGAGTCATCACATTTATTATTGCATTTGGAATCTGTAGCAAATAAGCTGCATATGCACTCACTACTCCGAGATGCATGAATGCATCCGGCTAGCAGGTTGATGCATTTATCACCATAAAAAGTAAAACCTTAGATCAGTGATCACTGGCATGCACCAACATAACTTGTGGCCCTATATGCATCAAATCTGGCTAAATTTTCTTCTAGATCTATAGAGGACATTGTCGGTTTTTTGGCCTCTTTGAAGGCTTAGTGGTTTTTGCTTTTTGTTGTTCCTTTGGGATGCGCTCCCCTCTTGAGCGCTTTTTTTACAATTTTTACTTATCAAAAAAAAAAAAAATTTCTTCTATAGTTGGTTCATTATTTTGTAATTAGATTGCACTTCTTTGATTTACTGAAGAGTATATCTCTTCTTCTGGATGCCAGGAATCTAAGAACACTGAAGTTTTAACTCTCTCTTTGGAGAGGTTCAAAGCTGAACTGTCATTTTCAGTTGTTGCCAAAATTGTGCCATCTAAAATTGATTACTTTGGTGTGAAATTCCATTTCCTTGCCTGGATTTCTTTAGCATGATTATCCAGTCATGGGCTAATGACATTAGCAGATTATGTTGTTACAGTGAGACAGAATCGTCTCCTGTTGCATTTTGAATCTGCCATAAGGAGTCTGCAATGTTTGATTGTTTGTATTGATTTTTTTGGTGTGTTCTTACTTTTTATTAGCCTTTGAAGTTCAGCAGTTCTATTTTAAAAGTAATTTAATATATACTTGTTTTTATTGTGAGCTATATTTCTGCCTGTTTCTGGATGATTTATATTTTCACTTTTTCAGGCTTCACCTATTATGATTGGTGGACGGCGAGCAGTTGTTGAGGAAAAGAGGTCTACCAGTTCTCGAGGCAAGTTAGATTTATGTTAGAACTTATTAATAGGGAACTATTTTCCAAAATGTATGTCTATGTATATTGCACCTAAATGCTTTGGTTGGAGGGATGAAAAAATGGATGGAAGAGATAGGGGGAGGAATGGATGATGTATCTCTAGGGAAGGGAAGGTGCCTTCCCCATTTTTTGTTTGGTTGAATGGAATGGATAGTAGAAAAGATGAATGGAGTGATACTTTTTTCTTGTTTGGTTGGAAGGGAGAGAATGAGAGTTTTTATATTCTTTTTACCAATACACCCTCATTATATAAAATTATAAAAGGTAGATATTCATTTCAAAATTTTTGAAACGGTTAAAATTGTAAATTATAAATTTATAGGTAGTTATGCCTTTTTTTCTCTCCTCTCTTCCCCCCAAAAGTGGGCGGATAGAAAAATATAAAGGAAGGAGGGATGAAGCATCCCTCCTTGTTTCCTCCCTCTCTTCCCTTCCCTCCAACCAAACATGAAAATGTTTATCCATCCTTCTCTCATCCATTCCCCCTCAATCCTTCCCTCCAGCCAAACATAGCAAAAATGATGAATGGAAAATAATGGATATATTGGTGCATAGAATAGCAAAAACAAAGCACATGCGGGGCTGCAGATGTCCTTTACAAAGTAAGACGAGGGGAATACAATTTCTAATTTGCTACTTGTTGAACCAGAGAGGAGGTTCTTTTATTCTACCAAAGTTGCATAAAAATCTGTAGTATAGTCTTGGGAAAGGGAATTATTGATTGAGAGGCATCTTCCCATGTTTTCTTCCATGTTTCAAATTTTCACGTCGCCTTGTGCCATAAAATCAACTGTTGTGGTGGAATTCACATCTGAAGTTCTTAACTGGTGGCATTTTATATACTCCCAAAATAGTAACAATAATAAAAAATAATTTCCGGGTTGGGAGCTGATTTTTCCTAGTGATAACTGCTGAACTTGTTGCAGTTCTCACAGAGAATATTTTTTGCAACAGAAATCAATTTATAATGTTTGATCCAGAGGCTGGGTTTATCCCAGCCACTCCTAAATTGTCCTTGTATAAATATTGTTACTCTTTTACTGCAGCAAACAATAGGGCAAGATTACCAGCTGGAAGGGGGTCAGGATTCAGGAATGATGGAGTTCAAGGGCGTGGAAACTATGGAGGCAGCAGAGGTTATAGCCGGGGCGATGTCGGTGGCAGGATTGAGTTTGGTAACAGGGGTAGCAATCGGGGAGAATTTTCAAACCGGGGAAGTGATGGATATCAGAGGGCTGATAATCATGGGAGCAATGGTGGCCGCATGAACCGTGCTGGTGGGATGGCCAAGACGATGGCACCACGGGTATCTGCAAGTGCTTGAGTATTCATAGCATAGAAGTTTCCTTTTTTGAAATGTAGTGATGATTAATTAGTCGATGTATTTTGGTGGAAGCTTCTTTATCCTTTTTTGGACGGGCTGCTGGAATTTTCTTGGGTATTTTCCAAACTTTATTTTGCTTATTGGGTGGTTATAGGTGGATAAGTAGATTAATATTTTACTGTGTAGTATTATTATATTATGAAAAGGCTCGGGGGATATGTTCTATATTTGTGAGCTATCTGTTGGTCTTTGTTCGCTCTTGACAGAGGAAATGGATTCAATTATGGATATAAAACAGTCTTGCATCAACTTTGGTTGAAGAATATTTCACGTTTTTTGGTTTAGTTACTGCTGAACAGTTTGATCTTATAAACAAATGAGAAAATGTGTTACCTTTATTGCATTTGACAAACTATTCAGTTGTAAATGAATTTTCCTTGGGTAATCATTGAACTTGGATCACAAGATTTCTTTTAAAAATCTAAAAGATCAATTAAAAAATAAATATTCAGCCAAGAAAAATCAATTTGTAAATGCATATGAACCTTTGGAAGCAGAAGCCTAAGAAAGCTTAAACAAACTATCAAAATATTTTAAGTTTTCTTAAGCTTCTGCTTCCAAATGAAAATATTTTTTTATTTTCTGGTATTTGGTTGTAAAATATTTACGAAGAAAAAAAATATTAAAATTTAACAAAAATAATTTATTTGTAAATTTTTGACAAGTTATTTTACATGTCCCACCTGATAGACTTGATCTCAACCTCGACCTAAATCTTTGCCAAACACCAACAAAATAAAAATAAAAAAAATATTTTACCTGAAAAATAAAAATATTTTTCAAAAAAAATATTTTACTATTATCAAAAATAAACAAATATATAAATATTTGTGATTGAGAAAAAGGTAACTTTTGTAATTAGTCAAACGTGGCTTCATTTGAACACAATGCATGAGTTCTGTGCAAATCATTTTGCATAGTAATCCATGTTAATGTCATTTATTTTATGAATATATACTAATCTTGATGGATTCCATTGATTCTTATGGTATCTGTTGCCAATTCAATATTGATGGCATTCAAGCTTAAAAAGAAAAATATTTTATGTTCTACCATTGGAGAAAACTAAAAGGTATTGTGAATGATTCAATTTTTCTTGAATTATATACTTATAATTCTGTGAATACTTAGTGATTTTGAGTGAGATGATTTATAGTGCAACCAAGGGTGCAGCCGATTTGAGAATTGAGAAAGCCTGTGTCTAATATATATATATATGTGTGTGTGTGTGTGTGTGTGGGGTATAATTTAAAACAAAAAGAAAAGTCAAAGGGTGGTGGTGGGACCCACCACCCACTCACCATTAATGGTCTAGAGACCATTTTGCTTTCTCATTTTTTTCTTCCTCTCTTTCGTAGCCCCTCTCTCTCTCTCTCTCTCTCTCTCTCTCTCTCTCGTTTTCTTTCATTTTTCTTTTCTTCTTGTAAACCAATTTTTGAAGCTTTGTAACTTTCTTAATTCTTGGCGGATTAAGGTGCCGTTTAAGGCAAAACGAAGTCCACTACAAGCTCTACGCATCCATACGAACAATTCCAGATTTGATACCTTCCTTGGAGTTCGAAATTCAAGACTCATTTTAAGAGTTTTGTGCAAATTTGAGATATGGGCTCTTAATCCACAAGTTTCTTGCTCCTATGTGAATTACATCTTCTAATTTGATGCTAGACATGCTTACTTATGCTAGTTGTAGTTTAAAGAAATTATAGCATGTGTATGTGGTTATGTGAGAACTTGTTTTAAATGTTTTATGTGAAAATTCTTGCTTATGTGATGATTTATATATGTCTGTTGTGCTAGATGCATTGTTGTACAAGAGCATGTTAAAATCCCTTGAGAAATTCTTGCGAAATTATGTCTTACTTGCTTAAAAAGAGTTGAATGTGAAATGATGATTAAATTCATGGTATTGATACACTCATGCACTTACATTGGGCATGAAACGGGAAGAATGAGTTTGAAATGAAAAATGGGATTTTGGGAAAAATGATTTGATGAAATGGTTTTGAACAGGGTACCAAAGGGCCGGAGTGTTAATATAGCCTAGAGGGGACTAGGGAGTCGCCCTAGCGTGGTTGAGCTAGTTGGGCCCCATAATGACGCCGCGAGGGTACCAAGGGTCAGGGACACTAGCCAATCCTCCTCTCGTGTCGCTGCGGGGTCACCAAAGGGTAGGTTATATTAACAGTTTGAAAGTGATGTTTGAGAACAGAAAATGGGAAGTGACATTGGCATGCATTTGCATTTTATGGCATCGTGTGGGTTGTTCTTGAGTTTGGTTGGAATGTTGTATTATTTCCCGACATTGTATGATCCCCATTTCCTATTGACCTATTCTTTGTATGGATTCGCAGGGAGACAAGAAAAGTGTCTTAAGTGTCACCTATTGAGCGTATAGCTCACCCCATCATATTCTAATTTTTTTTCAGGAAACGGGGAAAGAAGTAGCGAATGACTTTCCACCACAGACCTAATTTGGTTTAGAAGACTTCTTTTTGCTATTTTTGTATTACGTCTGTAATATTTCTATTTTTCATCATTTTTTTTTTCCCGAAATTTTTGTTGTTTCAAGGGTATTTTCGTCTTTTATCATTTACGTATCGGGCACTGCGGAGTGTGCCGGTTGTGTTCGAGAGTTGTTTGGAGCATTTCATTGAGTCCAGGACTCTTTGACATGCAAGGGTAACCATTTTGGCAGTTTTCTATTTTTCGGGCCGAACGGTTCCATGTAGGACCCGCTACAGGGACTGTTGCATACGAGAATTTTAATTGGGTCCATTTGCATTATAATCATTTTATTTAATGTGTTCTATATGGTTGTAATTTAATAGGTGTATGTATATATATGTGTGTGGTGTAAAATAGAAGCAAAAGAAAAAGAGAAAAGAAAAGAAAAATGGTGGGACCCACCTTACCATTCTTTTTAATTGTCTTTAGGCTATTTTGGCAGAATGAAGCTCTCATTCTTTTTCTCTCTCGTCAAACGCTCTCCCTCTGTTTTTGTTTTGTTTTTTTTTTTTTTTTTTCTTGAGCTTCAAATATTCTCCTTCATTTCCCGGCCAAACGGTCGGGTTTCCGGTCATGGCTCCTCGATAGAAAATGTTCATCTCATCGTTCTCTATCACATAGTCAAATGATTTAATTTTTTGAGGAGTGGTGATTATTTTACGAATTTTTGAAATTTTCCGATCTAAGGCTTCTAATGGGGTTTTGGGGCACTTGGAGTCGGATTCCGGAGATAACCATTTGGAACAGTAGAATCACCTCGTCGACGGCTACGTTCCCACAGAACAGTTCTCCGTTCCGCCTTTGACTGACGTTGACTTTTGTTGACTGGCATTGACCGCGTTGACCGGCATTGACTTTTTCGGCCGGGGATATATTTTGGCTACTTTTGAGGTAGGAATGTTCTAATTCACAATTTCTTAGGTTCTATATGAATTTTCCTTCTTAAATTGAGTATAAGCATGTTTAACTTCAATTATTTTGACTATGTGATTGTGGTAGATTATATATAAAGTGGTGGATATATGTTATGTGATAAATGAGTTTGTAAATTTAGTTACATCCTTGAAGTGAAGAAGCATGCTTAGAAATGACAAGGTGTTTACTTTATATATTTCAATTGCCATAGAAATTTGATGTCATGATCGTAGAAATAAATGTTTAAAATATTCTTTTACAAGTTGTGATTATGATATGGGTAAAATGTATGGAATATAGTTGTTGAATTTGGCATTTGGAATCATGAAGCATTTATGCATCCATTGAGAAAGAAAAAGGGGAAAAATATATATTTTTAAAACCAATGAAATTGTTTTGGGGAAAAGTTTTTGAAAAGTATTTGTGAAAACCCGGACGCCTAGGAGGCGCCTAGTGGTCCGTGGTGTTAGTGTGGTCTAGAGAGGGGACTAGGGAGAGACCCTAGTGTGATTGAGCGGACCAGGCCGGATGCGACGCCTTGGAGGTGCCTTGTGGTGGTGGATGGTTAGCCAATCCCCCTTTCGTAACGCCTTGGAGGTGCCTTGGGTCAAATTACACTAACGGTTTGGAAGTTGAAACGGTATGGTTTCGGAAACGGGGAGTGACATTGCATGGCATAGCACATTATTAGCATACGTGGTGCATTTGGTAATGGGTTGAGATATGTATGTTTGTTGATGATACAGTGGTTTTAGTTGATTCCCGAGATATGATCCCGTTCTTTTGCTTTCTATTCTCTATGTGGATTCACGGGGTCATAAGAAGTGTGTCTTAGACACTTCCTACTGAGCATTTAGCTCACCCCATCATTTTAACATTTTTCAGGACACGGATGACAAGTGGCGGACGACGCTCCTCCACAGGGTTCGATGGGTTAGTAGACCTTTTTGACATACTTTGTAGCTATAATCACATTTTATTTTTATTATTATTTCTTTATTATTACTTATTATTTTTAAACCCGGAATGACACGTATAATATGTATTGATGTAGGAAAGAATGGTGTTGTCCTTAGTTGATCTCGGGTTCGGTTAAGGACCCGGCTAACGGTTCGGACCTACGGGTTCGGGTGTTCACAAATTTGGTATCAGAGCGATGGTTCGAAAACCATTAGGACGACGGGTAGAAGCCTACCTAGGGTTGGGTGAAAGTTGAATTGCATTGTTTATGTACCTATGTGTTAAAGTGTTTGTTATTTGAAAAATATGCTTATTTGCTTAATTGCTTATGTGTTTACGGTTTTAAAAATGGCATGCTTATTTGCTAAATGTTCACATGTTATGTGTTTAATTGCTAAAATGTGTGTTATATGGCCTTGACGATGAAATGTATAAATAATTGAAAACATATTAATTATGATATTATGACAAGTGTGATTTAGGTGGTAATGGCAAGTGGTAGGCACGGTGTGTGCAGTTTTATTTTAAATGATAATGTGACAAGTAGTGAGCACAGTAGGTGCAAGCATGTCTCGTATGGTATTGTGATAGTTATTAGGCATGATTATGCAAGTATTTAAAAAAAAAAAAAAAAAGAATGAAAGATGGGGTGTTTTTTTTTTAAAATAAATAAATAATTGATGGGACATGATTGTATCATGGTATGGGGTACGGTTATTATGTATGTGTGTACATACGGTTAGGTACGAGATGGTTATTAGTACGGTAAAGTACTTGTTGCGGCATTGATGGTTGTGT